GAGTCTTACCCACTGGAGGACCATGGAAGCTTTTTCTCTTCTTTTTCTTCTGATTTTTTTCTTCTTTCATTTCAAATCTGCCATTGAGCCCTCTTTAGAGAACTTTCCATTTCAGTTATAGTTCAGTTGTTCACCTGGGTTTTGTTGTTTTTATGCATTCTGTTTCTGTATTGAAATTTCCTCTTTATTGAAACATGATTATCATCAGTTCAGTTCAGTTCAGTTCAATCACTCAGTCGTGTCCAACTCTTTGCAACCCCATGAATCGCAGCACANTGATTTTAGAGTCCCCAAAAATAAAGTCTGACACTGTTTCTACTGCCTCCCCATCTATTTCCCATGAGGTGATGGGACCATAGATGGGATCATAGAAAACTATGATCTTAGTTTTCTGAATGTTGAGCTTTAAGCCAACTTTTTCACTCTCCTCTTTCACGTTCATCAAGAGGCTTTATAATTATCATAGTTTCCTTTAATTTTTAGAACATATTTATAATAGTTGCTTTGGCCCTCAGAGGTAGAAATTATTATGTTATAAATGAGGAAAGGTGCAGAGCATCCGACTAAAATTTGGCTCTAATCATACAGTTACCAAAGTCCCAAAGCTGGGATATAGTCCCCAACTGATAGATGTAGTCACAATATTATACTTTCCTTCCTTAAAAGAGAGTCTATATACAAATGACATTCTTTGCTATTTTGATTAATGAGTGTATGATCATTTTCTTAGAATCCTACTTTCAGCACATAAAAGTGGGTTTAAGTCATCTCATGCCCAGGATTTCCAAATAATTTTTCTTAGAGTGGTATTGAACTATCTAAACCTCAGGTCTTTGAAAATTCTCATTTAAATGTCAAACAAGCACTATTCATTTATACTGTGAAATCAGACAAGATTGTTAGAGATGGTCCGAAAAAGTAATGAAATTTAACATTTGAAAGAGCCCAGGTGTGTATATATGTGTGTGATTGTGTATATTGCCAAGGAAATTTTCATGCAATGCAAATCATTTTCTACATCCTTTGACATGGAACTGAAATATCTTTGTTTCAGTCATCCCACAAAACACTAAGATAGTATTTTGCTGTCTTAGAAAATAGTCTGAAGGTCAGTTTTAATTGCTCTAACTCTGAAATCTTTTGTGTTCCTGAGAGCATGCAGAGTTTTAGATGTAATCACTAATAGTCTCTAAAAAATATTATGTTGCCATGGATTACAAGACTCTCTGAGAGTACTGGAGATGAGGCAGTTTATGAGTTTTTGGAGTTCCACCAAGAAAAATTGGATTTAGAGCCTTAAAATAAATTCATTGAAAGTTCAGATGTGCTGTCAGTATTAAACCAACCAAAGTGACTGTATTAAAATATGGCATGTCTTTGAATTAAAATATATAAAGTGCTATTTGGAGATAATTCTCTTTTGGTGTGTCATTTTGAGATTGTTAATACTCTTGTCCTATATCTAAATAGGCATACAAACAGTTGGAATTTTAACATAACAATGTGAAAAGTGCTAGTGAAAGTCGCTCAGTCGTGTCCAACTCTTTGCAACCCCATGGACTTTGGAGTTCATGGAATTCTCCAGGCCAGAATACTGGATTGAGTAGATGTTCCCTTTTCCAGGGGATCTTCCCAACCCAGGAATCAAACAGGAATCTCCTAAAGTTCAGATGTGCTGTCAGTATTAAACCAACCAAAGTGACTGTATTAAAATATGGCATGTCTTTGAATTAAAATATATAAAGTGCTATTTGGAAATAATTCTCTTTTGGTGTGTCATTTTGAGATTGTTAATACTCTTGTCCTATATCTAAATAGGCATACAGACAGTTGGAATTTTAACATAACAATGTGAAAAGTGCTAGTGAAAGTCGCTCAGTCGTGTCCAGCTCTTTGCAACCCCATGGACTTTAGAGTTCATGGAATTCTCCAGGCCAGAATACTGGATTGAGTAGATGTTCCCTTTTCCAGGGGATCTTCCCAACCCAGGAATCAAACAGGAATCTCCTGCATTGCAGGCAGATTCTTTACCAGCTGAGCTACCAGGGAAGCCCAACATAACAATGAACCGCCCCCCACCAACCACCACAAAATAGATAAAAGAGGAAGAATGACAACGTATGTATGTTGAATATTTTTCCTCAAAAAATATGACATCAACATCATCTACTATAGGTCTGGAGACACTGTCTTCAGGGAGCCTATGTATAAGAGATGGAATTTTACGCATTTCAAATTCAGTGGTCTTGATACACTTTCTTAAAATGTTGTTATTCGTCTGTAGCATGGCTTTAAAGTGGAGTATATGAGTACCAATGAATTAGTAATAGCTCTTTGGGAGTCCTTGCCTGGTGTGCAGGATGACTTAGCATTGCTACTCTATACTTCTAACTGTACTCGGTCTCCCAAGATTTGGTGGTCCACATCAGCAGGTTTCCTTGCTCCATGACTTTCAGTTGGCTCCAGCTACAAGTAGGAACCTTCCTGTCATCTGGAAGAGGGCTGGGAGAAAGGGGAGTCAGAATATTTAATCCCTAGCCCCCTGACTGTGTGTAGGAGTGGCCTTGGGCTGGTGCTGCCCTTCATTGAGGGGTCAAATGATGCCCTTCTCACATCCCTCTGTGTCCCTGAGAGCTGTGCCCCTTTGAGCTGGGTATAAGTGCAGGAAAAGCTGACATAGCAGGCTTGAATGCTTTCTTCAGAAAGATTTGCTTACAAAGTTGGCATTTGGTGGCCATCTGGGAACTTGGATTTTTTTTTTAACATTTCCCACCATCCTCAGAATTGTCGAGCGGCTCACTCTCCCTTAAATTTTGCATAAATGACATGTTTTTTGCTTAACACCTGCTTTCCTTCTGGGAGTCTGAAATTATGGTATGTGGGAGATAGAGGCTGCCTATCATGAACGGTTTCTGTATGAACCCTGGGTGCGGAGTTTCTAATCAACTTCCCTGGTTGGCAACATTTCATGTGTGTGTTCGTGTCTTGCTGGGGGAATTAAACACATCCTGTGTGACAGCAAGCTTGTGCTTGGCTTCCCCCAGGCTTCCCCCGTGTGCCTTTACCCTATGTTGACTGTAATCTGTATCCTTCCTCTGTAATAAATCTTACCCAAGGGTGACTTAAGATGAGTGAATGAGTTTCTAGTGAATCACTGAACCTGGGGTTGGTCTTGGCCCATGACATAAAGAGTAAAAAAGCTTTGCTGTTACTTCCCAGAGTACTGCTCCATGCCTTTTCGTTTCTTTGCCCTCTGCCCACCCATTTGAAAATAGTTTTAGATCTTTATTAAATCATGTGAGTGCACTCTTGTCTTCTGAAACATTAATTATCACTTAGTGACTGTATATATTTCATATAAAAATACTGATAATTATTTGATTCATTATTTAGTTTTTTACAGAAAAACTAAATGGTTTTAAAAATAAGATAATGGTAACATGTGCCTTTGTTATATTCTTTAATGAGAAAATCTGATTAGATTATGCTTCCCTAATGGTTGAAGGCTTATGTATCTTAAACCAGAAAGGGATAAATAAACTGGTGGTTGATAATATAGCTAGATATTGTTTTTCTCCTTCACCTTTTTATATTCTGGAGAAAAATGTAGACTTACTCTTCAAAATACAGAGACTAAGAAAAAATACACAGTGATAAGAAACAAAGTGTTCAAAAAATATATTTATATGCTATAAAGATATCACTAAAATAATGAGATGAATGCTGTTACATTCCTAATGGAAGCAATCATATAATCTCTAACAATCACAGCATTTTTAAATTGAAGTATAGTTGTTACAATGTTGTGTTAGTTTCAGGTGTACAACAAAATGATTCAGTTATATATATGTGTGGGTGTTTATTATTTTTCAGATTTTTCCCATTATAGATTATTATAAGATACTGAATATAGTTTCCTGTGCTAAGCAATAGGTCCTTGTTATCTGTTTTATATATAGTAGTATGTATCTTTGAATCCCAAACTCACAATTTATCCCTTAACGCCCCACTGCCCCCTGCTTTCCCCTTTAGTAACCATAAGCTGTTTTCTATGTTACGATCCCAGCATTTTTAACAGGTGTTAAAAGCAGTCATGGCACCTCTAACAGGTACTTTGTGTGTTCATGTAGTACATTTAAATTGTTTCTTGCTAATGTTTAGACTAACATCCTTAGCATCCATAGCTGTTTGTATCACTAACTTTTATTCTTTCACACTGTGCTCTGTGGAGCTTGATGAGACATTGTGCTTAATGGAATGGAAAGCTTTCTCTTAAAAGTCTAAAAATTATATGACTTATATTTCAAGTTTCAATATAATTTATGTCAACTTTTAAATTAATTAAGTAGAAAATGAATATGCATATTTGGATGATTTCTCAAAAAAACCCAAAGAAAGAAGAGTAAGACAAATACTGTATGTTTCCATTTATATGTGGAATCTTAAAAAAATGAGCAAATAAAGCAGATACAGATTAACAGACACAGAATAAACCAGTGGTTGCCAAAGGAGTAGGGTGGGGGTAAGGGTAAGGGAATGGGTGAAATAGATGAAGGGGATTAATATGTACAAACTTATTACAAAAGAAGTCACGGGGATGTAATGTACAACACAGGGGATATAGTTAATAATACTGTAATAACTATATGGTACATAATATAAACAAGCATCAAATCACTATGTTATACATCTGAAATGAATACGTCAACGATGCTTCAGTAAAAGTAAGTGCTTAATGTAAACTTTTGTGGTTTTTCCCCAACCATATTTATGTCAGCTGTGTTGACCTACAAATGTGTTTTATATTTATAGATAAAAAGCTTTGTTTTAGAGAACACATGATGTATGTCCTTTGTTTATTAATGTCTTGGTAAACCACATGTCTTCTTGATAAAGTAATCTTGAATCAGAAAGACCTCTTTGCTGGGTATTTTACTTCAGTTTACTTGTGTCATTATTGATTGCCTTTGCTAATACATGCTCTCTTCATTGTAATTTAGCTCCATCCCAGCAACCTCCACCCAGAGGACAAGTTCAAAGTTCTTCTGCTATCAATCTTTCCTGGAGTCCACCTGATTCTCCAAATGCCCACCAGCTTACTTACAGTTTATTCAGGGACGGTTTTGAAATCTACACAGTTGAAGATCAATACCCATACAGTGAGTTTCAAGGTTTGATGTTGGAAAGATAAAATATTCTGAGAATTGATACATTAGTTAAGCTCCTTGACATTGAGGAGAAATGCTGTTGTTTAGCAGGGAGTGTTTCAGCAGAGAGAGAATCACAGATCTCACTAGCAGTCAAAGAAACCCACTGAAAATGAGATGTTTATTATTTGATAAGTCATGAATGCTTATCAAAGCCTCAAAGATGAAAAAAAAAATACCCTTTACAGCATTAATGAGGATATGGAGAAGCTAGAACTTACATAAACTGCTGGGCTATCTGTGTGAGTTCGCTGGTATGACTTTTCATGTGGGACAACTTGTTAAAATAAGTAAGAATCCTTACTCTTTTGTAAACCATTTGACTCAGCAAACCTACTTTAGAAAATTTATTTCAAATGAAATCATAAGTAGATAGCAAATCACAAAATACTTCCAAAGCTCCACTATCTGTTGTAGCAAAATATTAGAAAAAGTCAGACACTCAGAAAACTTTCAGTAAATTATGGTACATGGCATGATAGAATCTGGTACATTATTAAGTAAATTATAGAATGAATATGGTTACCTATAAAATGCTGTCTTAGTTTACTTATCAGTGAATAGAAAATGTCCATGACATACTGTTTAAGGTATTGGGTTAAGATCTTATAGAAAAGACTAAATGAACCTTTTAGCCAACCCAATAGGTTAATTCAGTAGTAAAATCAAACATCAATTATACCCTTCAGTCTAGAGGCAGAGGCATGTTTTTCAGAGTAACATATTGTGATCTATTGATAACCAAAAGATATGAAAAATAACCTGTCAATTATAAACATTTAATTAAAAACATAAAATACAACAAACTGAAAAAAATGAGCAAATAAAGCAGATACAGATTAACAGACACAGAATAAACCAGTGGTTGCCAAAGGAGTAGGGTGGGGGTAAGGGTAAGGGAATGGGTGAAATAGATGAAGGGGATTAATATGTACAAACTTATCACAAAATAAGTCACGGGGATGTAATGTACAACACAGGGGATATAGTTAATAATACTGTAATAACTCTATATGGTACATAATATAAACAAGCATCAAATCACTATGTTATACATCTGAAATGAATACGTCAACGATGCTTCAGTAAAAGTAAGTGCTTAATGTAAACTTTTGTGGTTTTTCCCCAACCATATTTATGTCAGCTGTGTTGACCTACAAATGTGTTTTATATTTATAGATAAAAAGCTTTGTTTTAGAGAACACATGATGTATGTCCTTTGTTTATTAATGTCTTGGTAAACCACATGTCTTCTTGATAAAGTAATCTTGAATCAGAAAGACCTCTTTGCTGGGTATTTTACTTCAGTTTACTTGTGTCATTATTGATTGCCTTTGCTAATACATGCTCTCTTCATTGTAATTTAGCTCCATCCCAGCAACCTCCACCCAGAGGACAAGTTCAAAGTTCTTCTGCTATCAATCTTTCCTGGAGTCCACCTGATTCTCCAAATGCCCACCAGCTTACTTACAGTTTATTCAGGGACGGTTTTGAAATCTACACAGTTGAAGATCAATACCCATACAGTGAGTTTCAAGGTTTGATGTTGGAAAGATAAAATATTCTGAGAATTGATACATTAGTTAAGCTCCTTGACATTGAGGAGAAATGCTGTTGTTTAGCAGGGAGTGTTTCAGCAGAGAGAGAATCACAGATCTCACTAGCAGTCAAAGAAACCCACTGAAAATGAGATGTTTATTATTTGATAAGTCATGAATGCTTATCAAAGCCTCAAAGATGAAAAAAAAAATACCCTTTACAGCATTAATGAGGATATGGAGAAGCTAGAACTTACATAAACTGCTGGGCTATCTGTGTGAGTTCGCTGGTATGACTTTTCATGTGGGACAACTTGTTAAAATAAGTAAGAATCCTTACTCTTTTGTAAACCATTTGACTCAGCAAACCTACTTTAGAAAATTTATTTCAAATGAAATCATAAGTAGATAGCAAATCACAAAATACTTCCAAAGCTCCACTATCTGTTGTAGCAAAATATTAGAAAAAGTCAGACACTCAGAAAACTTTCAGTAAATTATGGTACATGGCATGATAGAATCTGGTACATTATTAAGTAAATTATAGAATGAATATGGTTACCTATAAAATGCTGTCTTGGTTTACTTATCAGTGAATAGAAAATGTCCATGACATACTGTTTAAGGTATTGGGTTAAGATCTTATAGAAAAGACTAAATGAACCTTTTAGCCAACCCAATAGGTTAATTCAGTAGTAAAATCAAACATCAATTATACCCTTCAGTCTAGAGGCAGAGGCATGTTTTTCAGAGTAACATATTGTGATCTATTGATAACCAAAAGATATGAAAAATAACCTGTCAATTATAAACATTTAATTAAAAACATAAAATACAACAAACTGATGTGTAGTTTTCTCTGTGTATAAGGATTATAGAAAATTTATCAAATATTTGTTATTTTATAGAAATATTTCTGTTATTATAGAAATATTATTCTAATATTTCTGCATTTCAAATTTTAAATTCTCAGGTTGAAAAGTGAACTTCTCTAAAAGGGAAAAGAGAGTGTTAACATGAAAGCAAGTAGATTAAATTTATGCATACATTGCCATTTTCACAGAGGTAGAACCCAGCAACACTGAAATGAAATTGAGAGGGGAAGGATATGAACAAACCATGAAGATTATCTTTGCACCTGTAACTTGTATGAACTTTAAAGGATCTTGTAGAAATCAAACTATAGAGACCCATTATCTTTAAAAAATTATACTCAGATATTTTAGATACTGTTTCCCTAAAAGCAGAAAGAAGACTTAGAGATTTTTACATTCTTCTAACTCTGTCTTCCCTGAGGTTTGCTTCCATTATGTTTAGCTACCAGCTATTTTAGGAGACTAGTTTTAAGTGATACTGAAACATTTATTCCAATTCAGGTTGCTATTTCATTCTGTTTATATAAGACCCAATTTTCCAAATTCTTGTTTAAGATGCATAATTAGTTAGAAAAGTATAAAGAAACACTGCAGTTCCATAATCTTCCTCAAAATGATTAGTAAGATACCTTGTTTTGACATATAGATTGGCATTACAACTTTTGCATGGCATACATTTTTATGTTATATATATTGCAGTCGGTTACACTTTGCACCCAGTTCGGTATGACTTACATTATTATACCCAGTACTTTGTGTTATCTCTAAGTGTAGCTTCAGTATTCCAAGTCTTCTTTGAAGTTAATGGAAATTCTGAACTTCACGATGCAGATTGCAAACGGAAATGAACATCTGTCTACATCTGCCATGTTGGCAAAGCATCCTAAAAACCTGCTACTAGGATGTTTATTTTCTTCCAAATATCAGCATGATCCAGGTGTCCTGAAACTTAAGCTTTTGTGATAGGAGAAGAGAGGCTTATACTAATATTGAAAGTAATTTATAAGATGACAGTACCACTGGTTGGATTAATTCTACAGTTTTGAATTAGGGTCACTCTGTTTTCCGTATATCAATATTTTATAGAACATTGCATGTGAATACCACACTCTGGCTCTTTTACATGATTGCACTAATATAGAATCTAAATAACAGTTTTTTTTACATAATGTGTGCTTATTGACTAATCAGACATTTATATAATCCCATTAAGCAAGGTATTATGTCTTAAATCCTTATCTTTCATTTAAAAATGCTGCTTCTAGCATTTCTTGACGATGACTATAATTAATGATGTGAAAATTATCTGCCTGATGGCATTTGAACAGTAAGAACAATTGGTTAATGTTGTCAGAACATTGTATCATTCTAATAATACCCTCATGTTTATTACTCTATTTCCAGTGTGTGGATAGCACGTGTAATATGAAGAGGAAACAGTACTTATATTCAGTCGGATGAACACAAATCTTTGGGTTAAATAAAGGCATTTGGAATTATAGGTGGAGAATCACTGAACTTTTCAAAGAAAATTAATAGTGTTGTCTTCCAAGCAAGTTTGACCATTTGGTTGAGACTATTATAGAATTCCTTGTTAGAATAAAGCTTTTCCTAGCTGGCCTGATGCACTGTGGGATTCTCCAGAGTGGTAGTTGCCACCCTAAGATCATAACACTGATATGTTCATCTTTAGAACTTGGAAATTATTAGTTCTTAATAATACCTGCTAATAAAGATGAAATCATTTTAAAATTTATAAATAATTTTTTTAAAGGAAGTTAAGGTATAGTCAGTGATTTCCCTAAGTAACATTTCACTTGTTTTTGCATCCTCATTAGTTTTCAAGAGTAGAAGGGAAAGATGTAGGGATAAAGTTAGTACATTGGAAATTGTACATAATCAGCACTTTTAATATTATTTATCTCCTCTGCAGCATCAATCAGGGTTGCCCACTGGTATTTTATGTGCCATAGCGAAGAAGGGAGGGCTTCCCAGGTGGCGCTAATGGTAAAGAACCCGCCTGCCAATGCAGGACACATAAGAGACATGGATTTGTTCCCTGGGTAGGGAAGATCCCCTGGAGGAGGGCATGGCAACCCACTCCAGTATTCTTGCCTGGAGAATCCCATGGACAGAGGAGCCTGGTGGGCTACAGTCCTTGGGGTTGCAAAGAGTCAGACATGACTGAAGCAATTTAGCATGCAGGGGTAAAGAGAACAGCTCTCAAAGGACATAGCATGCTTTTGATTGTACTGAAGTTTTAGGTGGCTGTTATTAAATCATTTTTTCCTACTTAAGTTTCAAACTAAAGGCAAACTAGACATTAGAATTCCATCTATAAGATGGAAATAAAAAATAGAAGTCTTCTTTATTACCAAGAGAAGCCAGATTGGAGACTATAACTTCTGTCCTACAGGAAGACAGATTAGAAAAGAAAAAAAAAAAAAAATCAATGAGTTGATTAAGTATACTTTGTTTTTTTTCCCCTCCCGAATTCACAATCAATTAAATCTTTCCTCCTTCGGGACACCATGAGTGG